AGTTCAAACTGTTGAGCACCTTGTTCTCTCAACAACTCTGCTTGTTGAGAACCTTGTTGGTGAAGCAAGGCTACTTTCTCGCGTTCTGCGTCAAGTTCATTTTGAATGAACTTGGCGATAGTAGCATGTTGGGCATCTCTATTGAGAGCCTCTAGCATGACGCTAACAGCATGGATGCCCATGGTCGAACCCATTCGTTCAACCGCATCCCATTCGACATCGCTCAAATGGGAGTAGCCGTCACGCGTAGCGTGAAAGCTTTGGTCATCTTCATCATCCAACATATTCATGTTGGATGTGAACGCGGTCCTTGGACGGACTACGAAGTGCTACCAGGTGTAACGGGGCACCCTGAAGCTTGTACTGGTGACAGTACAAGCTACTTATTCTGATGACAGAATAAGGCGGTGCCTCGTAACTTCACGTACACTCGTACGTGCAGAGGAAGACGGTAAGAAGAAGCGAGTACTCGGTTAGAGTAAAAAGTAGAACTGTATTTATAATAGTTAATGTCTGCAATAAATCACTATTTATCTTCATCTAACGATGTCTAAATACAAATGTGTAAATCAGTTATCTGCTCACCACTCATTGCGTGCGTCTGTCGTGGCGCGTCTTCGTTGGTTGATATAATGGCCTATATCAACCAATTAGGAACTACTTGGAAGTGCTACAGAATATTGTCCTTATGACAATATTCTGAGAATATAACTCTTATAGTTATATTCTATTAACAATTTCTTATAAATTGTTATGTAACGATTCACCCCGTTACAATAGTGACGCCAGCTTATCTTAAGAAAAAAGTTTGATGATGTTATCGATCAGAGAGATTCGAATCACATATCGTGTGCTGTGTTAAAAAGTAATGATGACTGTCAGCTGCTTACACTCGTCAGCGTGGTTACTGGTTCTTGTGACAGTACAATTTGTCTAGACGCTAAACCCTCGTAAAGTATGCTCAGAAAATTTGAGAAGTTGTCGGTCGATGCGTTTGTTCACTCACTAGAAAATAAAGACTATTTAAAGGTGGTGGTCATTCAAACCAAAATTGTTTAGTCGATTTTTTTATCTTTTCATGAGACCGTTCTGGAGGACACAAAACAGCACTAAGTGCGCGTAGTGGGTCAACGATACTCAAAATCCTCATGTTCCTTTTTGTTCTTTAGTCAAGGAATTTCAAAATGTGGTGTTCCACGACCCACCCTCAGTTCTATCTCCAGAGAGAGGTGTCTGTCATGAAATATTCTTAGCTTCTGGAATAAGTAATGTGTTACACGACAGTGGTCTTTGCCTAAGGAGAAATTTGATGTCATTGATGACTTCTTACGTGCTAAAAACGAGGCAGTTATGGTACGTGAAGATAAATCTCCAAGTTCGATATCGACGTTTCAATCAAAAGGCCGAACGGCAAGTGGCGTTTTTTTGCATTCTCATATTAAGCCTAAAGCGGCTGCTGTAAAGGCACCGACTTCATTCCTCAAAAGGTTTTACTAAAACAACTGGTTGGTTGTACTATGTATATTGCACTCAACTTGGGCGGTGGTTACCAACAATTGCTCATGCGAGTGAAACTTCAATGACAGAAGTGAGCATTCAAAGCGGAATAATATATAAGTGACTAGTGATGCTTTAAAAGCTGCCTGATGCTTCAACAAAATTTAATTGTCCGGTAAAACAAAATTTCCGCCCACATAGGAATTACGCACGTACGTGCCTTTATGACATTGTTGTCTAAAGCCGGGCCGAAAAATGGTCTTTCAGATGTTGCAAATCGCATCAGATATTGCGAGCCGTGCTCAAGTGCATGCGCACTAATAAATTGTGCGCCAACACGTCCAAGCGCATTTTCGATTCAGTGGAGATTATTTTCCAAACTTTTTCATCGTTAAGCGCGGCCTTCGAGAGGATAGCGCTAACGTCCAAGCTGTATTGGACTGGCGTATTCCTAAGAATTGAAAGGAACTGCGTAAGTGCCTTGGCCTTTCCATTAGCTTACACAAATACAGTTAAAATTACGCTGATATGGCTCGTCTTTTAATTGATTTCCTAAAGAAGGACACCGATATGCGCAGGGATAACACCCATGCCGATGCATCCTTGGCATTAAAAGGGTCTCTTTATCAACCAATCTTGGTGCTGTCAAATCGTGAGTACCTATTAGTGTTTTCTACGATGCATCCGAATTTTTTGTAGGAATCGATCTATTGCAAAAAGATGCTGCAGGACGCGAGCGAGTTATCATTTTTGAAATTTGTCAGCCTAAAGCTGCATATAAAATTATCTAATTTATGACAAATAGCTACTTGCTACAAAGTACGCGCTCGTAAATTTTAGGTACATTTGCTTCGATACTAGTCACTTGTCGTCTGTACAGATTATGCGTCGTACGCACGGCGACACAGTTACATCTTTTCTATCAAAGAATGGCTTGTGGTTTTAGCTATTTTCAATTAAAAATTTTGAGGTGAAGCGTAAGCCATGTAAACGAAGTGTTTTGGCAGATTCTCTCTCTCGCCGACCTATTAATTAGCTTGCTCGGGTCGCGACACTGTTGTCTCCTATTGAGGAGCTCATAATTATGTCTTATTCTGGGATTTTCAATGTGTGGTAATGCTTCATTTCCTTTAAAGTCAGTCATACGAGTAATCGGAAATTCATTTACCGAAACGCTTGCAGACCAGCCAGCATCGATATTTCATCAATGATGGCACATTGTGCTATCGAACTGATGTGGCAGATTCAGCTCGAGTTTTTGTGCCTTACTATAAGGATCTAAATTACCGAATACTTTTCAAGACATACGATAATGCCCTCAGTGGGCATTTTGGTAAGCACATATGTGCTTGAATGCGAACGCATCAGCGGATTAAACTTCTGGATCATGCCCGGCTGCAAGTTTTCCTGTGCCCACAGAGTGTCGCAAGTTCATCAGTTTATTTTTATCTTTGGTCTTTTTACAGACTGTGATGGCAATACGAGAATTGCGGTCTATAATGACCGTGTAAGCAAGATGGCTTACATAGCAGCGGTGTCGAATTTCATCGATATTTAAAGGCACAGATTAGCAGTTTTTTATCGTGTACATAGTCAACACGGGATGCCGCCGGCAATCATTGATGAAGTCTATCCAGGCTTTACAGGCAAATTTTGGACTTCATTTTTTAAGGTGCTTGGCACGCGATTGGACGATTCCACAGCAGATCATTCGCAGAGACTTGGTCAAAACGAGCGATATAATTGTGTCACTAGATATATCATTCGCTGCGTTTAGGCTGAGTCGCCTTAGACTTGGACTTCGATGCTCCCTGTCATTGACTTTGTGCTGAAAAAAAACTGTCCACGCCTCGAACGGATTTTCTTCCTTATGTTTGACTTGCCTCACCACCCCCCGCGTTCCCGCTCACTTTGCCACTCTGTGGTTCTCGGCTTGGTGGGAGAAAGACTTCTGACAAGCTTACTGAAATCAGCTCTACCACGATGCAGAAGCAACTAGGCGAATTTCTCGTGACGCGCTTTAGCCTCTTGCAACATGTGCGCTATAAAATGGCCGGTAGCCACGACAAACAAAATGAAGAGCTGAGGATGCAAGCACAGGATGTATTGATGTATATGAGGCTGGAGACTAAGTCTTATTTAATGCTAGAACATACCTAAAATGCAGTGTCTGCCGTCTCCAAACGAAATTGCGTCCGCACTTTATTGGCCTGTGGTTGTTCATAGCGAAGAAAGGCCTTGCCAATACACTCAATCTCCCGCGCAAGTTGCGCACACATTCAGGGTTTTACACTGGCTTTACTATCCTTTTCACGATCCATCTCTTTTTGACCAGAAGGCGCTTGCGTCTGAGGGTGACGGTGTCCCTCTATCTTTATCTTCGTGGAGAGCTATGATTGGCCAATCAGCCGTGGCAGGCCTTACTCTATCATCCGCAGTCGCTTGTCGACCGATTTGATCGAGCCGAGACGGTTCTGCTCAAACAACTGTGCCAACTCGGTCGATGGATGCTCCTGAGCGCGTTGTAATCGGTCATGATTTTTCCAGCGTTGCTCCCTCTCAGTCACAGTGTTGATCAGTGTCGTCTACACATGTGAACACGACTCTTGGAGTTGCTTCACCTCAATTACCAAGTTATCTTAAGTCTCTGTCGACTCATCGAACCCCTACTGCTTTGTTCTACAAGAAAAATAACTTACAGTTCCATGCGGAGGGACTCATTAAGCGGCAGTAGTACAAATCACAATACCAGTAACTGGCTAAGTGGCGTGGATACCCTGAGTCGGAAATATTATAAAAGATTACGGCTACCCCTCGGCAAGGTTATCTGTAAGCCGTTAAATTTTTATGCGTCGCGCTGCGGGTCAGTTCGCACCCCAACGCGCATCCCGCCAGTAGGCGTACGGCTCAGGGCTCGCTCCCAGCACCGGGTGCCTCGCGACTGTAACGGGGCACCCCGAAGCTTGTACTAGTGACAGTACAAGCTACTTATTCTGATGACAGAATAAGGCGGTGCCTCGTAACTTCACGTACACTCGTACGTGCAGAGGAAGACGGTAAGAAGAAGCGAGTACTTAGTTTAAGTAAAAAGTAGAACTGTATTTATAATAGTTAATGTCTGCAAGAAATCACTATTTATCCTCATCTAACTATGTCTGAATACGAATGTGCATATCAACTATCTGCTCACCACTCATTGCGTGCGTCTGTCGTGGCGCGTCTTCGTTGGAAGATCTAATGGCCTATATCAACCAATTAGGAACTACTCGTAAGTGCTACAGAATATTTGTCCTTATGACAATATTCTGAGAATATAACTCTTATAGTTATATTCAATTAACAATTTCTTATAAATACTTATGTAACGATTCACCCCGTTACATCACCCCCCCCTAACCATCAGTCACTTTAGTGACTGATTGACTAAATGGATACTCGTCCCAAATCATTTGGGACAGGGTTTGCACTTGTTGGTCCGCGTCCACTTTCCAACATCTCATCGCATGGTTAACAAGCCCATACGGTGTGCGAGCAAGGCCGCCAAGAGCGCGTCCGTACGTCTCTGAGCGGACGCCGAAGCAGAAACCGCAGCAACAGATGTCTCATCGGTTGCTGAAGCGACTCAGCCTGTGTCACCTGGTGATGCAGGCGCTGGTCATGAAGACACTCGTGTCTTCACAGAGTACGAGCTCGGTGTCTCGTACTCTCCTGATACGGATGACGGATCCGTATCGACGGCGGTCGAATCCAAGCCGCCTGCCAAGCGTGGCATGGATGATGCTATGCGTCGTAGCATCTTTGGTTCATCTGACGAATCAGATGAACCATCGCCGAAGCGAAGGCGCTCGGGGTCGCAAGACTAGGGCGCTCACAGTGGTGTCGGTTCTCCTTTTGACACCACTTCGCAACGAGGTGCCAGTCCTTCTGTCGGCACGTCGCAAGAAGAGCGGGACCGCAGTGTTTTGCGTCTCGCTCCCGAGAAGAAGGCATGGATGCCTCCAAAATCTGTCATGGATAAATTGTCGGCGACGACGAGTGATCGTTATCGAACACGATTGTTCGATTCGTCAAGTATCCATCACCTTGACCCCATTGCGAAAAACTATCGCGCTGAACATGAATTCTTCATCGATGCTTTCTTTAGACATCGATGGTACAGTGGGAATCACAAGCGTGATGGTTTCCCACTGCTTCAAGCGTGGAACGCCTACATCCATAACCTTGAGGATGTAGGTCGTGACGCTTGGAACGACAAACTTATCAAAGCTCGAGATAAGTTTGAAAAGCGAACCCTGACAGGTGCACGCTACAAGCTGCATCGTCTGTCAAGGGAGAAAGGATTACTCTACCTCTCATGGGGAGACTCGTGCCCATGTTGTGTGAACAACTCTGCACGAGCACCTAAGGAGGCTTACCTCCTTACCAGCCCGTGGTGGCGCGCACGTATCTCTACTGAGATGTACGAAGGGATTGACAACCTGAAATCCCTTTATGACCGTGCCGGGAAGACTTTCTCCGGCGGTCCTTCTGGGGCACAGGATGTGCCGCGTCGTACTGCTCAACCAGACCCAGTACGTCGATCATCAGTTGGGAGCGGGGCTCCCAAGAATCCCAGGACGGGGGATAGCCGCGCCACCGGACGAGATAACTCGTTCGACGTCCGTTCACGTCGCGGTGGTTCAACAGCTGCTCAACTAGATAGCGCTGGCCACCGCGAGAGTCCTCTAATGGAGGTGGAGGAGGAGGAAAGACGCTCTCCACACGATCATGTGGATCGGTGTGTTCCCGAGAGCTTCTTTGATCGCGTAACGCAAGGGTTACGCGACGATCTCGAACATGAGCGGGACAGGCGTCTCCAAATGGCGGACACTGTCTCGAAGAATCGAGCTGAGTTTGACTTTGCTCAGCTTGAGAACGAGAGAGCTCTGACATCTCTTCGTGACGAGCTAAGGGTAGCTCGTGGGAGTGTTGATCGGTCTCGGGCTGAGATAACTGCTCTTCAGACCCTTGTTGATGCCCACCATCGGGAGCACAAGGCTCTCTGCGAGATGCTTGAGCGCAAGGGCGTTCTTCATCGGAAGAAGCAGCGTACTGATGGTACTGCTTAAGCCGACCAACGTAAAACGTGGGATGCGTTCGCATCTTACGTGGCAACTCGATCGTGTATGCATTGCCTAGGCGGTGCAATACACGAAATGGGCCGATGTACTTGGGTAGCAGTAAACTACTACCCAAGTTAGTCACTACATGCTTTGGTAGATTAACCGTAGACAGTAGGACTAAGTCACCTTTATTAAATAAAAGATTGTTTGCCCTTCCATTCTTGTCAGCGTTTTGCTTTTGCTTATCCACCGCTTCGGCGATGGAGTCTTGCACAAAACGGACTACCGTTTCACGAGCCAGTATGAACTCATCTGATGACTCGTTAGCTTCAGTGCGCTGTGAGTGCACTGCAGCAACATCAACCTTTTCTTCAGTGAGGGCTTCCGCACTCTCACTGGGATCATTGTCTTCAGTGAGGGCTTCCGCACTCTCACTGGCATCATCTTCTTCGATATCGATGTTATCGATATCGGCATCAAACGCAATGACTTCTTCGTCAGAGCGTGATTAGCGTGAACCAAATCGGTTTTTGCTCGCTCGAGTCCCTCCCCCCCTTAAACCAGAGTTACACTCTAGTAAGGTGGGTACACGCGGATTGCGCAAGCCATTCACGTAAAACGGTGTATGTGTCGTGGACGCATGCACCGAGTTGTTGATGGCAAACTCTACCATTGGCAACAACTCACTCCAACTCTTAAAGGAGTGTTCGTATCCTCGAAGTATCTCTTCGAGGACACGATTGACACGTTCGGTCTGACCATCTGACTCTGGATGATCAGATGTCGACATCTTCAAGCGCGTTCCGAGTGATTCGAACACGGAGCGCCAGAAATCAGCAGTGAATCGTGGATCTCTGTCTGATACGAGTTCACGGGGCAACCCATGAAGTCGGAAGATGGTGTCAATAAAGCCATAAGCACAGCCACTTGCCGTGATTGTCTCTGGTACAGCCACAAGGTGTACCATTTTGCTGAAACTGTCAACAAATACGAGAATACCCGTATTCTTGCGTGCGTCTTTTGGGTAACCCGAAGACGAAATCCATTGAGATGGATTCCCAGCACTCAGCCGGAACCGGTAGAGGCTGTAAAGGTGCACGCAGTGAAGGGCTTGACTTCACTCGTTGGCAGACTTCTTATGCGCGAACATACTTGCGCACAAAATGATACTGGCGGGGCCAGTAAAAGTCTCGACTCACCGTGAGATATGTTTTCTCCCGGCCACGATGTCCTCCTATAGGAGCATCGTGATACTCGCACATGATCCGCAAACGCAGATCAGTATCATCTGAAATGACAACACGTGGTGTGTCACCAGAAACGGCTGTATAATACAGTAAACCGTTGCGAGTAGTGTATCGATCGGATGCAGATTGACGCGCAGACGATAATCGTTTCAACGGTTCTCAAGATGGTTGGGAGAGATGTTTCAACAAGTTCACAATCTCACCATCTTGGGCGTATGCCCGCCTCACATCATCATACAACGTTGTAGATGGAACTGAGGACGTCATAACCGCAACAGTGACTGTCTCACTGTTGGGTTTCGCGACTGTTTCAAAGTCGGGACGACGTGAGAGTGCATCAGCGACGACATTAAGTCGTCCTGGTTTGTACTCGACCGTAAAGTTGTATTCTGCAAAGAATGACAACCACCGCGCCATTCGTTGTGAAAGGTGCGGGCTGTTCACTGCCGTGCGTAACGACGCATGGTCAGTGTAAACTATGAAGGGTCTATCTCCTAATAGATAGACTCTGAACTTCTCGAGTGCATACTTCATGGAAAGGAGATCCTTGTCATGCACTGGATAGTTCCGCTCAGCTGGTTGCAGCTGACGCGAATGATAGCAGACCACGCGTCCAACGCCTTCAAGATCGTACTGCATTAATGCACAGCCGATTGCGAAATCGCTGGCATCACAGACCACATGAAATGGCCTGTCCTGATCGGCTATTGCTAGGACTGGGGATTGTATCAAGCTCTGCTTGATACCATCAAAGGAGCGCTGACATTCAGCGTTCCATAACCACCTCTCGTTCTTTTTCAACAAACGAGAGAGGTGTACAGTCATCTCGGCGTAATTGCGTGAATACTTTTGCAGATACGCCGCTAGCCCAAGGAATTTTCGAAGACCTTTGACATCGACCGGCACAGGCCAGTCGGTGATCGCCTTGATCTTTTCGGGATCAGGACGTACACCGTTCTTACCAACGATGCACCCAAGAAGTGGTATTTTGCTTGCTGCAAATATACACTTCTTGAGGTTTGCATACAATCGATGCTTTCGCATGATTGTAAGAACCTGTCGGACGTGGTACTTGTGAACCTCAACGTCCGACTTTCCATCCATAGCCCAACTAAGGATGAATACGTCATCAGAATAACTCGGCGCGAATTCTCGTACTGGTCTCAACAGATGTGATACACATCTGTTGAACGTGGCAGGGGCATTACTAAGCCCTTGTGGCATTACTAGCCATTCCCAGAGCATGCCGCTAGGCGTGCTAACTGCGGTATAGGGTATATCCCGTTCCCGCATTAGGATTTGATAGAAGCCATCCATCAAATCCATGGACGAAAAGATGGTACTCTTTGACATACCATCAATGATTACGTCCTTCCTCGGTATCGGCGTCTGAGCCGGTACCGTTGCAGCGTTCAATTTGTTAAACGCGTGCACTATCCGCCACCCTCCTGTTGCTTTTCGCACACAGAAGGTCGGAGAGCTATGTGGGGAAGTTGATTCCCTCACATGGCCAACTGCTAAACGATCGGCAAAGAACTTGTCGATCGCAAGTACTTGTTCACGAGGCAGTGGCCACTGCTTCATGACACAGTACTTCGAGCCTGGTTTAAGCTCGACCTCGTGTCGAATACCTTTATCCTTCGGTAATTCGCACGGAACAGTTTCAGGGAATACATCCTTGAATTCAACCAAATCTTCATAGAGAGGATTTTCCTTGAGCGATTCCCATGATTGGGACTCATATCGCTCAATTCGTGTCTTTTCATCTAGGACACTCTCGTCCATAGATGAACTACTGAGAACTCTCTCGTTCTCAGTAAACACTGTTGCTGACCTTATGTCGGCTATATACTCGTCTTCAGCGACGAGTATGCAGATCTGCTTGACTTTGCCACTACGCAGATCACGCAAGAATCTTTTATGTTCGAGCGTTGGCAACTGAGTGATCTCCGAAGTTAACTTCGGAGGCGCAATCAGATCAAGTGTATAAGCGCCTACACATGATCCGTTATTGACTATGATATTCAATGTCTCTGTCATTTCCTGGGGACTTATTCCCTCAGGCCTCGAAGGACTTATTCCTTCGGCTTTCCGGGGACTTATTCCCTCGGGTTTCGGGGAACTTATTTCCGCCGTATTTGTAATATTGGGACTTATTCCCTTTACTTCCTCTAGCTGTGGTTGCGCAACCACAGCGAGATCCTCTACGAAAGACTCTCCGGTCGATCCAGGATTATCGTTTCGCTTAACCTGAGCGATCGATTGTTTCTCTCCAGGATGTTCCCCACTAGGGATACATCTTTGTCCCAGTCCACCCGACTTATTCGAGCGGTGGACCTTCGGCGCAGCCTGTGTTTCCTCACAGCCGCCAGAACTTTGCTCCGAAGTGTAACTGTTTAATACACTAAGGTTTTGTGCAGTCGTACTAATGACCGTACAACAAGTGAGGCCATCGCACTCACTCGTAGTACATCCACACACTTGTGGACGCTCCAAAACGTTCAGCAGATGGCC